CCCCCCCCCATTAAAAAACCCGCGCGCCGGGAGGGGCCTTAAAGGGGCCGCCGGGAGGGCGGGTTATATGCAAATGAGGGGGGCGTGGCCTCTCTGGGAAGGGGTGGGGAACGATTGGGCTTCGGGTTTGTATTAATTATTTGGTCATTAAAGGACCCCCCACCCGCCCATCGGGGGGGTTCCAGCCCTGGGGGTTGTGCCCCCTCCCCAAATTCCTCATCCTCCCCCACCCCCCCATCCCGTGTGTTTTGGGGGGGCAGCAGTGGCAGAAAGCACCAGACCCCCCAGTGAGGGCAACTCTGAGGCTTCCTGGGACCAGTAAAAACCAGCCCAGGCAGAGCTGGGTCCTGCTGGTGCCACTGGGGCACAGAAACTGGTTCCTCTGCATCACCTGGTTTGTCCCCATCACCTGGTTCCTTTGGTTTCTCTTTATCATCTGGTTCTTCTCTATCACCTGGTTCCTCCCCATCACCTGGTTCCTCCCCATCACCTTGTTCCTCCCCATCACCTGGTTCCTCCCCATCACCTTGTTCTTCCCCATCACCTGGTTCCTCCCCATCACCTGGTTCCTCCCCATCACCTTGTTCCTCCCCATCACCTGCTTCCTCCCCATCACCTTGTTCTTCCCCATCACCTTGTTCTTCCCCATCACCTGGTTCTTCCCCATCACCTGGTTCCTCCCCATCACCTGGTTCCTCCCCATCACCTGGTTCTTCCCCATCACCTGGTTCTTCCCCATCACCTGGTTCCTCCCCATCACCTGGTTCCTCCCCATCACCTTGTTCCTCCCCATCACCTGCTTCCTCCCCATCACCTTGTTCTTCCCCATCACCTGCTTCCTCCCCATCACCTGGTTCTTCCCCATCACCTGGTTCTTCCCCATCACCTGGTTCCTCCCCATCACCTGGTTCCTCCCCATCACCTTGTTCTTCCCCATCACCTTGTTCTTCCCCATCACCTGGTTCCTCCCCATCACCTGGTTCCTCCCCATCACCTTGTTCTTCCCCATCTCCTTGTTCATCACCTCCCTCCTCCCCATCATCTGGTTCTTCTCCATCCCTTGGTCCCTCTCCACCATCTCATTCCTCTGCCTGCCTTTTCCCCATTGTCAGGTTCCCTACTTTCAGCTCCTTCTCCTCTCCAACACGAAGCAGCTTCTGGGGTGGGCACACCCAGCTGTAAAACTGGACTTCCTTGCAAAGAAGCCTCCTGGAAGACAGACACGGACACACTCACCAGCATCGTGGCCTCTGCAGCAGGTGAGGATGGACACCAGACCTCCAGGCTCCACCTCAGCTTGGGAGAAGACACTCAGAAACTCTCCAGGATCCTCCCACCCAGGACAGACATGGGCTTCCCACCCTGCCAGGGCTTTGAGGCAGAACAAAAAAGCCTGGCAGCAGTGAAGCCCCCGTGCAGCTGGGCACTGTGTCCCCCTGCCAGGAGCAGGGCTGAACTTGGCAGCTCAACCCACCCAGACCTTCATCTTCTCCCCCCCCCTACAGGGAGAAGACACCTGGTGTCTCCATTTCAGGGCACCAAGACCCCAGCAGGGTGGGTACCCTGGGTGGCTGCCTTGGGCTGGATTCAGTGGGGTGACCCTTGGGGACAGGGACAGCAGGGAGCAGGGAGGGCCTTGGCTCCAGGGGCTGGTGCTGGCAGGTTGTGTCCTGACCTCCTCCAGCTTGATGGAAGTGGAGGTGGTGGTCCCACACATTGACAACGTGACCTTGCTGGGGTAAAGGGCTGCCCAAGGAGGTGGTGTGGAAAAGCTCCTGCTGGATCAGCTGGTGCTCCTGGGCTGTGGTGGCCTTGATGCTGCCACCTCCTCAACTGTGCTGGGAGGCACAGCCAAGGCAGGAGTTTGGAGCATCCTCCTCCACAAAAAAAACCTGCCACCTGCTCAATAAGCCTTCCCCAGGCTTTCTTCCAGCCATGGCTTCTCCACCAGCAAAGTCCTCTCCCATGCCAGAAGCCACAGGTTGGTCTCTCTCTGTGACCCTTCTGCCCCAGAGGGGTGGCAGCCACCAGGTCCCACCCTAAACCCAAAGGGGACATCTCCCTCTGGAGACCTTTTGCCTTGGCTGGGTAGGAATGGGCAGCTTCAACCCAACCAAGCCAGCAAAGAAGAAGGTCTCCCACTCTGAGCTCCTCATGGATCTGTTGGTCCTGCCTGATGTTCTTGCTGCTTTCCAAGAGGTGCTGGACTCCACGCCAAGATCTCCTGGCCCAGTTTGCCCAACTTGCTGTAGGTGTCCATGCAGACCCTGCTCCATCCCCACGGCCTTGGGGCTGAGCTGAGGGTCCACCTTGACCACCCCAGCCTTCAGCTGAAGGGGTTAACACAGCTTTGTGGCTGTGTCCTCTCCTCCACAGGCTGCACCAGGACCAACCCTCGTCATCAAACAAGCCAAGCCCAGAGTCCAACACTGTGGAGATGGAAATCCCAGCCTTTCAGTGCTGGTGGTGGGAGCAAAGTGCAGATCTGGGCTCCAACCAGCTCCAAACTGCTGGAAAACTCCTTCCATCTTCCTCCTCTCCTCCCAGCCATGTTTTCTTCTGTAAGACACTCCAATGTTCTCAGAACTCTCTCAGCTTTTGGCTCGAGGAGGAAGAACCAGGCAGTTCTCCACCCAGGCCTCCTCTAGAGGGGACCACCAAAATCTGGTGGGTTTGATTTCTGCCCACCCTCACCCTCAGAACCAGCCTGCCCTGGGTGCCTGGTCCTGGCTCTGCTCCCTCTGCTCCTCCTTGCTGTGGGTGATCAGGGACCCTCACAGGCTGGATGTCACCGTGGCCACCAGCTGGTTGGCACAGATGAAGATCATCAAGCCATCATCTTCAGGGTCTGCCCTGCTTCCCTGCTGGGGACAGGGACCATCCAGGGGACAGCTGTTGGTGGCCACCCCCAAACCTGAGGGGACCCTCTCAGCATCTGTGGGAAAGGGGACCCCATGCACCCCACATCCCTCCCAAGGTGAGGGGGCACAGCTCAACCCCAACCACCCCAAGCCCCTACCCCATGGTGGGCTCACACTCTGCAAGGCCTCCAGCCAGCTGCCCAGTATGATGCTGGTGAAGGACTGGTACAGGGCTGGGGTGGCCTTGCCAAACAGGGAGATGCTCAGCACCGAGATCTGCGTGGAGACAGTGATGGGGGTGAAGGGTCCTCAGCCTCCTCCAGGCCCAGCACTGGGGCACGAGGGCACCCATGGGGGGGTGGCACAACTGGCCTGGGGATGGGCCACCTGCAGGCCACAAGTGGCCACCAGCCAGAGCAGCCCCAACGCCAAGCACCCCTGGGTCTGGGGGGGTGACATGGAAGGTCCTGGTCCTTCCTGGGGGACACCAGAGGAGATCCCGGGCCTTACCCAGGGGGGTGGGAGGAGATCCCGGTCCT